TTCTATTTCATCCATCGTGTGTTTGTTTCGTAGCCCTTGTTGGACCAGGAGTCCCCGCCGGAATGTCAGTTGATTGTAATTGGAATTCGGAGAAAAGCCGCGACCTCAATTGGCTTGAGCCAAAGGTCCCCGGGGATGGTTTGGGTGCTTGGCTAGAACTACAGTCGAAAAGATGCTGACAGTCATGCGGAGAGACGCAGCAATCGGGACAGGTTTCGAATGTGGACGGGTCGAGAAGGTGTTAGTATTGGTGCGGAGCAGTGACCGGGAGAGGCTGCTGTCAGCAAAAACGCAGGTTAAGAAGAGGGGAGATTGATTAACATAGGGAGGTTAGTCTAGCAGACCTTGACCGTCGTGAGGTGTGTGAGAACGCGATGAAGACGCGACTTCTGTGATTCCATCCATCCATCGTGAATCTTTGTGGCGAATAATGGAACAAAATTGAGTACCGACTAAACTCATTGCCATTATTAAGGTTTACTATCGTTCCACCACTGCACGAGTTTAGGTACACAACAATTTCTCTCAACCGTTCGATATCCGGTCGGGTGTCCGACAGGGCAGCGTCCTATCGCCCATTCTGCTTAACTATGTCATTGACTGGGTTCTCGACAAGGCCCTACATAAAGGGGACACTGTTGAGCTTGCACCCGGACGCCAGCTGACTGATTTAAACTACGCCGATGATATTGCGCTGCTAGCCTCAATCTTTGGTGGTCTACAGTTTGTACTGTCGCGGGTGAATAAGATCGATATGTCTGTTGTCATGTCCATAAATACCGGAAAGAATAAGTTATTCTCGAAGGCATCCCAGGGGATTAATGGCCATCAACTTGAAGAAGTAGACAGCTTTGAATACTCCGCGGAGAGACTGCTACAGAATGGGCACAGCAAAGAAGACATCGTCTCTCGCCTCGATACTGCTCGCTGGGTTTTCTCAATCGTTTGAAAACACCTATGTATCCGACGCGACATTTCCACCGCCACGAAGATTCGTTTACACTTTTTATCCCTCTGGACAGTCTTCCTCTATGGATGTGAATGCTAAGATTTGCGCGCTGAAGACGAGCGAAGACTAGAGGTCTTTGACCATCGCTGCCTGAGGACCATATTGCGAGTTAAGTAACCCGCCTTCATGTCGAATGAGACAGTCCATGCTCGCTGCGATCGTATCGCAGTTACTATGGGAACACACAAGTTCCATGACTAACGGCGCCCGCGTTTGTCTTTGTCAAAGGAAAACCCTCTTCTACCAAACATAATCTTTGTATGGGCAGTATTTGTTTGCGGAGCGCTGACAATATTTTTAATCTTATTAGGAGAAGCTCTACGCTGTGACCGCTATGCATACCTCATGCTTCAGACAAAATCCCAGCTGCATTTCACTACCTGCTTTCAAGCTTCTTTTTTTTTTTTACAAAACTCAACCATAATGCGTTTTAGATGCTAAAATACAACCGGCCGATTCTCTCTCCTACATCCTAGTTTCTGCATCGACCCGTTCAACATAAAACCCAACAACCCGCCGACGACTTTGCCTGTCCCCACAACTCAGTTCGTGGTGGGTGACGACACTCCTGGCACATCGACTAGGATGTCTAACCTCGCTCTGCGAAGGACTGAGTGCTCTTCCGAGAATAACCTTGGTGGTGGTTCTGCCTACACTTGCAGTCAGCAGAGTTCGTCCTCTAGGTCGAATCGCTTCTCCGAGACACGAAGCCAGAGTTTCAGCTACGATCAACCCGGGATGTCGGAGAAGGGTAAGTGGGTCTACCATGCCCTTGCTTGTTTTCGTCGGAAGCGGGAGGTGTAGATACAAAGCCTGCAGAAGGAAGCTTTTCTTCATTCGTAACTTTTCCCTGCCACACGCACACCCAAACTTCAGTCCGGCAGCCCATTTTCTCCCCTCGCCTTGCATGCTGCTGGTCCACCAAATTTTATTGTTTGACTTGTACCGGTCTGACTCATTGCGACAGAGGGGAATTACTTGTTGTCGGGGTCTAACAGGAGTAGATGCTAGTATAGTAGTGTCCCTGAAAAATGACTCATGCAAGTGGTGCTTATTTTGTGTCGCATAACAATTTTTTAGCAAAGTAGGTCTTATTTGACCATAGTGCTGGAAGGCCTGAGTTATTTTGATTCGAAAAACCTTTGGAACCTTCTGTAGTCTTTGAAGCTTAGTAAGTGTCTACTAGGTTCTCCGGCCCCTGAACTGATCCTATGCTCGAACGCACTGAGCTGAAATTTCACAGATTTAGGTGTGGGACGATACTTTTTTCTTCGATAGAAGTATTATGTTTTTACACAGTGACAAATTTCAGAATTCTGTAAGCTTCTACCAAAAGATTACAAAAAATCAACCTTTTTGGCAACCCTCTCAAGCAATTTTAGGCTGTTTTGGATGTTTATCAAGACGTAAGGAAAATATGCAGTGGATTTCGGCTAATCAATTGGGCAGACTGGGCGACTGAATGAATTATCAGAACTTCCAGCAAATAGGCATTTATTAAAGGCACTCTCGCTTCTTACCTCCCGCTGGGCATACTCTATGACGTCCTCCCCGTAGTGTTCATTTTCCACATAATTCTTCCCACGGCCGTACCACATGTGACTATTAGCTGGTTAATTTTGCACAGACGGTTTCTTGTTTGGTGCAACGGGACAATTTTGTCGGCTGCTGTTGAATATTACCCTGGCATACTGATTCTTCGAGCCTGCGGTGTGACTACGCTCCTGGATCGTTCCAGGTGCACTTTCATCACATCTTGTCAAAGTCACTGCTCTAATCCGTTGTATTCAGCGCAGCGATCGTGGTTCCAGTCGGCCCTACCAAACAATCATCGTTTCTTTTTTTAACCCTCATCGATCGTCATGCCTTTTCACTGGATGAGGCCGCACCACCACAATCACCAACAATACCGATTTGGTAGGTCACCCCACCTGGCAAACGAATGATTTACTGTTCGAGACCGTTCTTCCTCCGCCTCCAGTTGGAAGCTGTTTGGCTAATGGCAACAAATAGTCTGCCAAACCTGGCATGTTAGGCCGGTTCGTAATACTTAATGCGTGCTGGCCTCGTGCTGGCGTTACAGATCGAAACCACATGTCAGAATTTGATCACCACTATGTTCTATTTGCCCCGAAACTTAAACAAAAATGGCTTTACTATCAGGCCGTACCGTGGATAGGATACAGGCGTTGTCGTCTTTGCCTGCTCAATCGACGACAATGGTAATGATGGTGACGATGCTGCAGTTGGTGATATTTATGATAATTAAGGTGGAAACGATGACGTTGATGAAGCTAATAATTATGGTTGTGGGGATGATAATAACAGACCTCAGCTCTGTAGTACATCCGGTTTTCGGTGTCAACTTGCCCAACTAAAGACGCAAGCCAGCCTGATAAGGGTAGACTTTCAGTGTATCTGACGTTTTAAATTCTGTGGTTAATCTGGCAGTAGTTCTAACCGACTGAACCCCGTGTAAGTCTGTGAGCGGTCGATGGACT